ACAGTTTTTAAAAATGAAGATGTAATATACTGTACATACCATTACAAGATCAGGATATATTAATGCTGTGCCAGCAACATTCTATGGGAAGGTACTATTGCTCCCTCACAGAAGTAACAAGCCAGCATTTCTTGGAAAAGTTCTCTGTGAATACCACTGAAATGCTTTTTGGAAAGCTCTTCATTTGTTTCTGTTTTCTTAATTTGCATTGACTGTCTCCCTTTTGGGTTCATATACAACTTGCATAATAGCGTATCTATACAGTGTGAGAACAATTGCATCACAGCTCAGCCATTCCAATAATGTTATCATACCTTTTCGCAACATGAATAGTGTAATATTTCATAGGGCTCATTTAAAAAGGGTATTGCTCAGGAATACCTATTACTTTTGAAGTTTACAGTCTCTCTCCAGTTTACCTTGCAATGGTAAGATGAGCCCTTGGTTCTGATGCAGGAAGGTGTATACACAATAATAATACTGCTATCTTCCTACAGATGATTTTAAGCAGAATGTAGTTTGGTAGTCACTTACAGGTAAACTGTCAGTGTTGAAGTCTTAAGGAGCATTCTGACTGTAAATGTCATAATCAATACAGTTTCCCTTTACTAAATCCCCAGAAGGTGGATGAGTCTATTTTACAGGTAAAGTCACTGCTCCAGTCAGTTTCTTCCTTACTCTCAAAGAAGCAAAGACAATTTAATTTTAGTCCACTAAGCCACCCAACAAAATCCAGGCTAAGAGATCATAATGGTGAAGGAGAAGATGGGTTTCCTCTGCAATCAATTGCATAGTCTCACAACATGTCTCTTTTTTTTATGCCTGGCTTTTCCTCACTTTTGTCTTTATCTTTTCTTCTGTTCTCTACATGATTATGTATATCTCTTATCAGCATGCCTGACATTTAACTCTAATTGTAGAACATGTATCTCATCTTCAAAGAAATGAGAGAGAGCACTAAGCAGGGTAGACAACATGCGACAATGATAACAATATGGAGATAATGCTGTCATATAAGGATTGAATTCAGAATTGCACTATCAATACTGTTAAAGTTAATCCTTCTACATAGTGACTTATGCTTGGTTATATAAGCCTGATCCAAATAATTTCAAAACTAATAACTTTTTTACAATGAAACAATGAACAAGATTATTTAGCAAACCTGAATAACAACCCATCCATCCCTGCATAAAGTAGAGTTGATCTTTCTGGCTCTCAATAACACAACATTTTAGATGCATATGAAATGTCAATAGAATGTAACTTCAGAAACATCAAGATTTGAATAAAACAAACCTTTCCATTTCTCTAAACACCAGGTGACACTTGTCTTAGTCTAAGCTCATAAATGTTTCAGGCCAGGCTTCTGGTTTTATTCTATATCACACAGTACATATCAAAGAACAGCTTCCTACCCTATTTGTGGCCTGGCCTCCTGGGTTCAGTGATAGTATGAATATGCCAAAGCTTGCTCTGTATATTCTGCAGCTACAGCAAACTTTGTTGATTTCCTTGTGTAACAAGAGGAGAAGGTACATGGGGGATTTGAGTGACAGGTGAAACAGCATCAAAAGGAAGAAGGTTGGAAATGGGTCTGACAGAACTGCATGGACTAATGTTCGTTCTTGAAGAAATGAACACCAAGAGAGAAACCGAGACGGTATTCATGACTTGATGCAGGAGATACTCGATACTCCTAGATTGCTCCCAGAAAATGCCAAAACCAAGAGGTGAGAAACAAGTTCCTAGGAAGCAAAAACAGATCCAAAGGATGATATGCACTGGCAGAATACGAGCACTAAAAATTTTAACGTGCAAAGTGCTTGGTGCTTTGAAAAATGTCCAGCAGTGTTTGCATCATTCAGAAATTAAGACCATGGTCTGCCTGAGAAAAAACTGGTTATTACCAGAGAAGAAACTGAGTCTAAGTATCTGTAGCGCAATAGCTGATAACCCACAGGCCTGTGAGCCTCATGCTCCATATGGTTGAACAGCTTATACTTCAATAAAGTGCCTGATGCTCTGACCACACCACCCAAGTCTTGGAAGGCAGACACAGGAACTGTGAGAAAGAAGACCTTGGGGCCACTGTAGGAGAGGATCTGGTTCGAGACCATCTTAAGAACCTGAACGTGCACAAGTCCATGGGACCTGATGAAATCCATCCGCAGGTCCTGAAGGAGCTGGCAAATGAAGTTGCTAAGCCACTGTCCATCATACTTGAAAAATCATGGCAGTCAGGTAAAGTTCCCAACGACTGGAAAAAGGGAAATATAACACCCATTTTCAAGAAGGGGAAAATGGATGACCCGGGGAATTACAGACCAGTCAGTCTCCCCTCTGTGCCTGGCAAAATCTTAGAGCAGATTCTCCTGAATGGCGTGCTAAGGCACATGAAAATGAACAAGGTGCTTGGTGACAGCCAGCATGGCTTCACTAAGGGGAAATCCTGCCTGACCAATCTGGTGGCCTTCTACGATGGGGCTACGGAACTGATGGACAGGGGTAGAGCAGTTGATGTCATCTACCTGGACTTGTGTAAAGCGTTCAACACTGTCCCACATGACATCCTTGTCTCTAAATTGGAGAGACATCAATTTGATGGATGGATCACTCGGTGGATAAAGAACTGACTGGATGGCCACACAGAAAGAGTTGTGGCCAATGGCTCAATGTCCAGCTGGAGGCCAGTAACAAGTGGCGTCCCTCAGGGATTGGTGTTGGGACCGGTCTTGTTCAACATCTTTGTCACTGACATGGACAGTGGGATTGAGTGCGCCCTCAGAAAGTTTGCCAATGACACCAAGCTGTGCGGTTTGGCTGATACACTGGAGGGAAGGAATGCCATTCAGAGGGAACTTGACACACTTGTGAGGTGGGCTGATGCCAACCTTATGAAGTTTAACCATGAGAAGTGCAAGGTCCTACACCTGGGCCAGAGCAATCCCAGGCACAGCTACAGGTTGGGCAGAGAAGAGATTCAGAGCAGCCCTGCGGAGAAGGACTTGGGGGTATTGGTTGATGAGAAATTTAACATGAGCCAGCTTCAGTGTGCACTTGCAGCCCAGAAAGCCAACCATATCCTGGGCTGCATCAAAAAGAGCATGACCAGCAGGTCGAAGGAGGTGATCCTGCCCCTCTGCTCTGCTCTTGTGAGACCTCACCTGGAGCACTGTGTGCAGTTCTGGTGTCCTCAACATAAAAAGGACATGGAACTGTTGGAACAAGTCCAGAGAAGGGCCACAAGGATGATCAGGGGACTGGAGCACCTCCTGTATGAAGACAGGCTGAGAAAGTTGGGGCTGTTCAGCCTGGAGAAGAGAAGGCTGCATGGAGACCTCATAGCAGCCTTCCAGTATCTGAAGGGGGCCTATAGGGATGCTGGGAAGGGACTCTTCATTAGGGACTGTAGTGACAGGAGAAGGGGTAATGGGTTCAAACTTAAACAGGGGAAGTTTAGATTGTATATAAGGAAGAAATTTTTTACTGTAAGGGTGGTGAGGCACTGGGCTGGGTTGCCCAGGGAGGTTGTGAATGCTCCATCCGTGGTGGTGTTCAAGGCCAGTTTGGAGAGAGCCTCGGGTGACATGGTTTAGTGTGAGGTGTCCGGGCCCATGGCAGGGGTGTGGGAACTAAATGATCTTAAGGTCCTTTCCAACCCTAACTATTCTATGAGTCTATGATTCTATGTTTGTCCTAGCTTGAGGAAACTATGGATTTCACTTGCTTTGGAATTGTGCTGAGCTACCATTCACCTTCATGGGATGATTACACCAACTAACTAGATGTACTGCCTGCAACTGTCTTATCACCAACGCCCTACTAACCTTCAGCCAACTCAGCACAGAACCTTCTTCTGTGTTAACTTTGGAGTGTAAAGAAACTCTTAGGAAATTAATCACATACCCTAGTGCTTCTCTGTCCTTGAAAGTTATTGACATTTAAAAAAAGGCTTTAGAGTACTTGTATTCCAGTCAATGTTGTCAAGCTCTAAAACACCACAGGCTCAAAAATGTAGTCCATAGCATACAGAATAGGAGGAACAGAAAATAAGAAAAACACCTAAGCTGGCCTTGCCTATACCTCTCTCAGCTTTTTTGCATATGCAAACATAAACATCACTGTTCAAGTCACAGCATTTAAACAAGGTACAAGATACATATCCAGTGGACAGCAAAACCACCTACAATGTTTTCCACTTGAGAAGAAACAAATGATGCTAAGGTATTGTTTTATTTTTCCTGGGTTACTGCTTATAAGAGAGAAAAATATCCTTTCTAAGTTCAAGAAAACTGCTTGAGTAAGGGCTATTCCTTTTGTAACATGAATCACATGTAGGATAATCAGCCACTCATATAGTGCCTATGACAGAAACCACTTTCTGGAGGAAAGTGTGCCCTTTTGAAGTTTACTGGCATTAGAAGGTTTGCTCTGTGTGTTGTGTTGTTTTTTCCTCTTGTTTTTTTTTTTTTTTTAATTTCTGGTAATTGCTTTAAAAGAACAAAGCTCTTTGTTTAAGGGTAGCTCAGGGAGATCATAATTGCTATAAGGTACAAGGCCATTTCCAAGTATTTCTGAATTGCTTCTCTTCTGCATTAAATATTTAATGTCTAATGTTTGGCCAAACTGTAGAAATTCCCTCTGGAACATGGGTGATGACTTCAGGAACAGAATGAAGACCTGTCAATTCAATTTTCAGTATGATTTTCTTTAGAAAACCACAGCTATTAAAGAGTGGGGTTTTTTTAAGAAAAGTCATAAAAATAATTCCAGGAGTGCATGAATGTGTACTCAGTGAAAAATATCAAGCAATTCGTTACATGGCTTTGAATATTACAGATTGAGAGAAAGTGATAATCACGCCTCCCTCCTTTATGGAGCTTTTGGTTTTAAAGAACTGTTGTTAAAGTCACCTAGTTGGTCATATGTTCCCCTCCCCTTCATGCACCGAGTTCCTCCTGGATTTTATCAAACAGATTTCTTTCTGTTATCTCCAGTTACAGCCAAGAGTGATGTTATCTGGTGGTATCCAGCAGCAAGGCTGTAACCCAGCAGCCCAGGAGAAAAGTGTGTCAAGGTTTCTATTGACTAGTAAAATCCTGCTGCATCAGCCAAATAGCACCTGCCCCTTGCTCAGACATTCTCCCTCCAGATGTCCTGTTATCACCTAAGAGATCAGTGTGTTCCGGGACAGCTGACTAATCCTTTTTCATTGTATTAAAACCTGACAGCACGTCAGGAACAAACCATTTCAAAGCCTCATGAAAACAAGCATGTGCTTCCTCCTACCCAACGATACACTCTGATGTGGATGCAGCCGATCACAGAACATGTGCTAACATTACAAAAGCATTGTACGAAATTTTACAATGTACATTGTGCAAAATACAAAAAAACATGATATTGTTTTGAAACTCTGAAAATGGTTACTATTTGTTGGGCTATTTTGGCTTCAGCCGTGATGTATGGACACCATTGTGCTACTCACCCATGAACTCTACCTTATCTTCACTAGACAGCTAAATATACTAGGGACTGACTACAGTATTCGAAGAGCTGTAACACCACCTTATTGCAGATGCTCAAGAAAGCTTCAGACAGAGCATATAACCTGGTGTATACATACAGGTTATATATACAGTCAGTCATATAGCTGACTTCTTAAGGGCTACGAGAAAAAGAGATTAAAAGGAAAGAAGAAGAACATCTTATGCCAGTTAACACTACATTAAAATTTCAATATTTATAATAGTAATATTGGTCCAGATATGTTGCATGTTACCTGCCTTTAAAGTTAAATATAACATCATGCATATTACTGTCTATAGCATCATAAGTATATATGAAGAAATAGGCAGGAGGTTTAGTACTGCTATTTAGTGTTACTCAGAAACATTTAATTATTAAATATCTTGCTTTTCTGTGATCATTGTCATGTTTCCTCTAATAGCTCATTAACATAGCCTTTGTCTTTAGTTTTAGAGTGTCCCTTTTCCACATGACTTTTCCTAATACAGCAGCTGCTCACAAGAAGGTTGATGTATGACGGTTCAGTTGTTTCTGAACCAGCTAGAAGGTAATTTTCCACCTTTCTCCTCCCTCCTCTTTCTTTTGTATATTCAGTCCAAGTTACCCAGGAGCAAGCTACATACTCAATGTGCTATTAAGAACGACCACAGGTGAGGATTAGCACACTCTGGAAGTGCACTGTTTACTTCAGAGGAGAAAGGCTCTCCCTAGAGAGCCCACTCTCCAGGGCTGTCCCCAGACCCCAGGCTTTCGTGGGCTCAGTGCAATCAAAGAAAGGAGCAAGATGAGGATCCTAAATTAGAACCCAAATCCAGTTCTCAAATGGAATTCTGGGGATCCAGTAAATTTTAGTCTTTCTGAAATTTGATTTCCTCACACTGAAGCATGCCACATACAACTGCCAAGCCACAGGCTAGACCCAAACCAAATATTTTAAAAATGGTGAATGAAATGAGTAGCTTCTAAATTTAGATTTAAAAGTCCCCAATGTTGGCACATTCCTTACTTCCACTGGCAATGAATTTTTAAAGCAAGTGACTGTTCCATAATCTAAGTAACAGTTAATAGTCCAAAGTCTGCTGATCTCTACTAGATAAGCATGCAGGTGTGAGTATGTGCACACGTGAAAACAAAAATAAAAGGATGAGGAACAAACAAATGAGTTTTCCGTATTTGGTGAGATCATCTATTAACGTATGGTCAAACCCCTGGGAACTGCATAAGTACTCAAATATTATCATGACTTTGTAATCAGTGTCACACAGTCAGGAGTGGGACATGGGGTAGGTTAGTGCTTAGCTACACATTAAAGGAACCCCTCTGAGCTGACACACTTGTTTCTAACATACTTCCTTAACACTTGGTTTCAATAGCAGTTAAAAGAGTCCTGAATGTTTCTGAGAACAAAGTCTCTCAGGCAGGTCACCCAAGAATTGTGTCACATGAAACTATTGAACACTTTTTGAAACTTGGACTGGCTGCTGGAAACCAGCATTCTTAATAGTACGCAAGCTAAAATAAATACTAAGAAACTAAAATGTAAAATTATTATAAAACAAGCCCACCTAAAAGTTCAGGCACAAAGTAAAAACATCTTTAAACAACCTACTTCAAATATAGTAAAACCTATTTTTAAATAAAATTTTAAAATTAGAAGACTGAGCCAGCAACAGGGTGAAAGCAGAAGCCAAACCACAATCTTGCTAGAAGATACCCTCGTATATAATGCCACACACTTTTTCCATCCTTGAACATAAGAAATTTGGACTGCACTTCTCCAGTTTTGGTACCTAGGTATTGAACATAATTGTTTTACCATATTGCTTAAACTCTCTGCCAGCAAGCCACGTCGCATGAGAATGGTTGAGTGAAATTCGAAACAATTAGGTACAAAGCATATTATATATGACACAAATGTCATGTTAACTTCTTAAAGCAAAAACATAATCTTCGTTATTTACATATGCCTTTCATGAGCAGCCAAGAAATTTACTTTGAAAGCTAAATCCAATTTCTTTATGCAGTGTTATCACCTACATAAAGGTTTTTCAGCAGGAATGGAACAATAGAATCCCTTTTGAACTGACAAATTATAGAAGCAGAAGATCTACATAAATCATTTTTTCGTCTAATCTTGAATGGCAGAGCACTTAGGTGTGCTGCTATAATCACAACACCAAGACTGCTATGAATGAGGATTAGTCATCTGTCTGATCCAAGTCTTATCCAGACAGGAGCCTAAGGGAGGTGAAGTCTTTGTTTCTAATAAAACAATAGAACCTGTTACTGAAAAAAAAAAAAAAAGTGCAATAACTTTGAAGTTCCTCTTGGCATTTTTTAAAAAATATGAACAGAGATGATCACTGTTAGCACATAAAGCATTATTGGAAAGTAAATCCTTTGTCCAATTTACAAAGTTTTTCAACTGTGAACTGAAACTATTAATAAACTTACCCTTCCTGCTCTTTAGATTTCCACCACAACTGCTATTCAGATTTATTCATGACTTCCTTTTATTAGAGACATGCCAGCTCTGCTATATTGTCCACCTGGAAAAATGCCTACTGTTCAGAACCACTGAAAAAATAGTCAGATATTAATCTTAATTACTTGCATTGCAGCCATCCAAACTGTTTTCATTCTTATGAAAGTCTTAGAACAATGTATTATTTTTAACAATTGATTTTAAACCACTTTCTTATAAAACTGATTTCTCAGACTTGAAGGTTTTCTCTTATTTGTACAAATGGATTCTTTTCAAATCTCTTTTTGCATAAAAGCTTGTGGTTCCAAAACTGTCTGGTGTCTCAGAACACAGAATTCCTTTCAGGGGAATCAGAGATACTTTTCCTATGTTGCATGGTTTTTAATTAGATTCTGCTGGGTAGTGGCACAAGTGAAACAAAACACCCCAAAAAAATCAAGCAAAAATGAGCAATAATAATTCACAGCATTTTGATTTACATGAAACAAAAATATGAGTAGTATACCCTGAAAAGACTGGTCAAATTGTTTTCAATTTGGGTTCCAAATGCCCGTATGTAGACATCTAAAGTAGTTTCATATAATATATAAGTCAAAAGGGAGAGAAGACAAAAGAAGAAAACCCAAGCACCCCTACTGAAAATTAGCCAAGCTCTGTGTGAATATGTGAAGTAGTATGGTTTTTCTTGTCAATTCTGACCTTTTTCAGACTCCTACCCAAATGAATGTTCAGGGTAAGGTTTGCAGAGCTGATGGCATAGACTAAATGTGTTAGAACCAACCTCTTAGGATCCTGTTTTCATAGTGGTTTACCAAAACAAAAGGAGAAAATGTATAGTACATATAGTGCTTTGAATATTACTATATGCATATTACCACCACTATGATTTCCCTTCCATGTATTTAACGTTCAGTCCCAAGCCATAGTTAAGAATAACTACCAAAATGAAGTTTATATGGAGTAATGTTCTGTTGAGAACATTCTGTTGAGAATGTTCTGCTCATTACAGAGCAGAATCTGTGGGGAAGAAACACACAAACACATGTACTACCATCATGCTGTATGCAGTCCCATAAGATTAGCTGGCAGGCCAGACAACAGAGCCAACTGTATGCTGGGCTGCATCAAAAGAAGCATGACCAGAAGGCTGACGGAGGTCATTCTCCCCATCTACTCCGCTATCATGAGACCCCCCACCTGTAGGACTGTGCTCAACTTCTGAGACTCCCAACAAAAGAAAGACATGGACCTATTAAAGCAGGTCCAGAAGGGCACAAAAATGGTCGTGGCCTCTGTGCATGAGGTGCACAGAGGTGCTCCAGCCCTCTCCTACGAAGACAGACAGAGAGTTGAACTGGTTCAGCCTGGAGAAGGCAAGGGTCTGGGGAGACCCTGTATGAGCCTTCCAGTTCTAAAGGGGGCATTTAGGGATAGGACAGGGGATAATGGCTTTAAACTGAAAGAGGGGAGATTCAGATTAGATATTAGGAAGAAATTCTTCACAGTATGAGGGTGATGAGGCTCTGGCACAAATTGCCCAGAGAAGCTGTGGCTGCCCAATCCCTGGCAGTGTTTAGGTCAGGTTGGATGGGGATTTGATTTGAGCAACCTGATCTAGTGGAAGGTGTCCCTGCCCATGGGACAGTTTAGATTGGATAGAAGAAGGAAGTCCTTTTCTGTAAGGATGGTGAGGCACTGGAATGGGTTGCCCAGGGAAGTTGTGAATGCTCCATCCCTGGCGGTGTTCAAGGCCAGGTTGGACAGAGCCTTAGGTGACATGGTTTAGTGTGAGGTGTCCCAGCCCATGGCAGGGGTGTGGGAACTAGATGATCTTAAGGTCCTTTCCAACCCTAACTATTCTATGATTCTATGATCTATGATTCTATTACTCTCTGAATTTGAAATTGATTTGCATTGGAGATATCTCCCACGCAGGGTCTGATTCCTGTATCATAGACCATTACATAAAAGAGTATAAAATATTTCAAACCTTTGGGAAATAGTCTCTATGTACTGTTGTAGAAAGGAAATAGTTTGCTTTGACTTCCAGGTTGGATTTGTGTGGTGAAGGAGGAGGTATTAGATTATTGCTGGAACCATTTCTAGGTCATAGTGAAATAAAATGAGCTTCAGTAGCAGCCAGCAACAGTAACCAGGAATCTACAGTATGTTGTATGGGGATTTGCTAATATTTTGACATTTATCCAGAATATAGACATTTTCCTTGCCAGGTTCTCAAGCATGGGCCAATAATTCCTTATACACTCACAAGAAAAGCAAAACCTTCTCCCTATGTATAGCCAAAAGACATTCGCACTTTGCTGCTTCAGATGAGCTTTTTGATAGCAGCACCAGGATACCTCAGACTGACAAGGTCATCTTTAAGTTCTTTCATTTGTAGAAGGGAATCAGGGGAGACTTCCAACAACTCTTTTGAAAATTATTAAATATTTTTCCAGATGCAAAGCTAGACGGAGACGGAAAAGAAATAAGAGATCAAGCTACATGTATGTCTATGGTGAATTACTATCGAAGGCTTGAACTAAGCAGCAGAGACTGATTTCTGCCTCTGAGAGGATAAGATGTAGAAGAACACAGGTATTGTTGTTTTACCTCTATACGCATTACTTTTGAACAGACCCTAGCAAACCAAAGCTAATTCAAAAAGAAGTTATTCACCGAAATGTCATTAAAAAAAACGCACAGCATATTCCCATTAGCTCCATTGCCCCCCAGAATGGCATCTAAGTGCAAGAAATAATCACAGTACAATATCAGCTCTAAGAACAAAATTATTACAAATGAAAAATTTTAGAGTGTGCCCTACATCAGATAAAAATGTC